CTCGGCCCACGTGCGGCCTCCCGCTCCCTGCCTCCCTGCCTCCCTCGCTCCCTCCCTCCGCTGTGGCTCCGGGAAAATGTGTTTCCTTTCGCTGGCGCTCGGGACTTTGGTTTTTCGAACTGAAAGTAATCACCAGCCGTCACTGTGGGGGGGCCTTGTGGGAATTTTATTCGCGAGGGCAGCTCCTGCCCGTCCCGTCCTGCCCATCCCCGCGCCCTGGCGCCCTGGATGGCGGAGGAAAGCGTTCTCTGGTTTCGATCGCTTTCCTCTTCGGGTCCTCGCTGTGGGTCTGAGTGATTGCAGCCCCCGAAGTCGGCTTTCAGGCCCCGCGGCCTCCTCGCTGGTAACTTGATGCTCGCGTCGGCGGCGTTGTCAACAGCAGATGCGGGCTTTGTGCTGCGCTCCTGCGCCGCTCCGCCCGAAGCCTCTCATCTTGCAGAGCCCTACTACAGCGCTGTAAACATCTGGGGCTGGATTCCCACAGACCTCACACAAATTTCATTGTCATTCTTTTATTTTCAAAGTAAAAGTCTGTTGCCATGGCTGTAGTGTATCCCATCGGGTGAAGCTTTCTCTTCCCTGCAAGTTTTCCTGGGACCCTTGAAGTCCCTCCTTCATTTTTCCCCTTCTCTTTTCTTGCAAGGGTGTGGGCTCCACAAGGGGAGGGAGGACAGGACAGAGGGGCGGGCACTGTGCCTCTCCTTGGAATTAATCCAGTCAAACTAGATTATGCTGTTGGTTTCCTTTCCTGCTTACTTTCAAGTGGTGAAATTTATTCATCCCCTATTGATTGTTATTTGAAAGGACCCTAGGGCTAGGCACACTGAAGACAGCAAAAACTCATATGTAGACATATGTACTGGCCATTTAGCTCTGTCTCAATGGTAATTCCATATTAGCTTTTATTGTCAGCGTTTGGAAACTCCACGGATGTATCTGGCAGCTAATTTAAATGAATGGGTCACACATTTCAAGATTCTTGGGCCCACAAAGTATCAGGTACTGATGAAAATGACAGCTGACCAGAATTTGACAATTTATTTCTAGATAAAGATGTACAAGAATTAAAATTTAGTTTTCTTTTTTAGGAGCTCGTGTATGTTCAACATTAACGTCTATGGCTCCTCAGCTACCGCTTCTGTTTACTAACTTTAGCGATGTGTTTACAAGTAGTAAAACTATTTGTGGAAGTAAACTCTTCTGTTTTCTATTTGGTGCTAGAGATAGTAAATACATAGTTACGTGTGTGTTCATTGAGATTCTTAGAGTCCCGCAGGTAAGGTCATAATGACAGTTACTTTTACTAATGAAGTTATTCACAAAAGAAACCCATTTGTCATCTGTGTTGACCAGACGCTTTGGATAGCCTGTATGTATAATTGGTGACTAAATTTCTATCTAGTTTTCAAACAACTTAGTGTGGTGGGATCCAGTTCACAGGTGGGGGAGGCTGGGCTGGACAGAGGAAGCTGGAGATTTTACAGAACTTCCTATGGATTGAATTTCTTTGTAATTTTATTTAACAGAAAAACTCCGAAGATGTACTAAACTTTCAGAGAGTAAATCTTGGGGAAATCTTCATCTTTTAAAAACATTTTGATAACAACTTGATTGGGGGTATTTTCGTGTCTCAGATGTGATGCAGAGACCAGCCTCCGCTATTTTACTTTATGCAGTTTAAACTACTGTTATGTAAAATGATGACTGCTGCGTTATCATTTAGTAAAATGATGGTCTGGAAACACAGTGAACTTTTTCTTACAATATAAATTATCTGACAATGGAAAGGCTTACAATTTTTTATTGTATAAAAATTTGCCAAGTTTGCATGCTAAGTCGCAAGACATACCAGTAGCTCTTCTGCGTGGTGAACACAGTCTTAACGCACTGCTAGTTGAGGAAGGCAGTCCAAATGCTTCAACGAGAAGGGGGAGGAGTTTCCGGTGTTCAATGATGTCAAATCGTAAATGTAGGCTTTCCAAGAATATCTGCCTTAAAAGCTAGCAAGTGAGGAGTACAGATTGGAAAAGCCCTAGTTTTACATGGAATACAGTAATCAGATGCTCCTGCAGTGTCCAGCTGGGCTGGGTCAGCTGAAGCCTGTGGTATGGCTAAGATACTGTCTAAAAGTTGTCTAATCCCATCTGAACAAACTTTTGTCATATCCACAAGGTAGCCAGGCAGTCAGTCCACCACATGGTAACCTCTTAAATAGTAGGGCACCCAACCTCTGAAGAGTGTCAGTTTGTGTCCAAAAGCTACATTTCAGTAATGTTTTTCTAAAAAATCATTAATCATTCTTAATGCACAAAGCCATTCTTTCCAGGTTTGCTTATTTGAAGATTAATTTTCTTTGTTACTCCTGACCCTGGCATTAGTGCTGCTGCAAAACAGCAGCAGCTTACTAAGAGGCTCTGTATTTGTGATGTGCTTGGTAATTAACTGACTCTTGTGTTAGTATTTTGCAAGCACAATGCTAGCAAGCAAAAACACGGCAAGGAAATCAGCCATAATCAGGATCATAAGGACATTTTAACTTCTAAAATCAGTTCCTAGAGATTGAGTAGTTCTAAACTTACATGAGCTAAGGCAAGTCATGTCAGTTTCAGTAATTATTATTGCTACTCTTTTAGAGAAGGGATTATTTCTAGTTTGCTCTTTGCTGTTGTATGAGAGTAGAATAAAGAGAGCAGAAATGAAGTCTGCTTCTCCAGCTAGACATCGGAGAAGCTGGAGTAGTTCAGCAGAACTGCAGTGCGTCTGTCACTAGATGTGTGCAGGCGCATTTGGGGGTGGCTTTATCGCTCATCACATCTAGAGCTTTGCCCTGGAAGCGCTGCCACTTGGCTGCAGTCCTGGCCTCCGTGAGGGCTGGATACAGCTGTCAAGGGCCCTCGCAACTGGAACTGGTGGCTCGCCTCTGACTGGGAGGAACACAGCTGTGTGTGTCTAGCATAGTTGTCACTTGAAGAGGAGTCGACTGGAAAGAAAATGTGTTTCCCAACTTGAGAACTTCTGCACTCCAAAGAGGCCCAGATCTTGTGGGCCTTTCAGAGCCAGGAGCGTGGAAGACGATGGAGAAATAGGTATAAATGGGTGTGCATTTCCTTTAAAATCCTAGTAGCCCTAAGATACAGATTTAACAACCCGAGCTTTTTAAATATAAAACTCAAATCTGGAGAAAGGCAGTTGTGCAAGGTCACTCAACTAGAAATTGACAGAACTGAGATAGAAGAGCAAGCCTAGTATATTATAACTCCCTGGGACTTTCAGATATTGATATGTTGGAATTACACACCCTAAATATCTTGCAACTGTCTAAAACTTTACTTCTTTCTGTAAACACCAGTAGACATTAGGCTTAATTTGGAGCTGAAGTAAAATGACAGACAGTAAAACAGAAATGAAATGCACTAGAGAAAATCATTGCAGGGGCCACATATTATCAGACAATGACAGCGTACTGGGTAGGTGAGGGCTCTCTCCTGATACTGTGTTTGGCAATATAATTGCTTATGGACATGCACAAAGTTCATATACACTGATTTCATGTTTGGAAACAGAAGTCATTAGGAATATCTACCTACTTAAGAAAAACCCACGAATGTCATTGTGTATAGTAATTGTTTACAGCTCACCACAAATGTTTAATTATTCCCATGTGTAATGAAATAATTTGATCAGAAATATCATGGAGGAGTGGGCTTTGCAAAAGCTTCTACTGTATAACTATTAAGAAGGGCAACATTTTGGAGACAAACCTAGAGATGTGGAGAATACTTTAAAATGAGCCTGCAAGTCAAAAGGGAGCGTCACCACATAAAACGACACGTTGTCTACGTTAAAGTTTTGCATTATTACCTTTAATCTTGAGCAGAAGTCACTGTAAGTTGTCAAGTAAATTGAAGCAAATAATTGTTGAGGAAAATAAAGATCCTGGTATTATCCCCTAATAAACAAGTTTCCTAAGGAAAACCCTTATAGACAATTTATGGCTTCTACTTATGTCTTATTTAAGTTGTGGCTGTTCCTAGAATTTTGGTGCATAATTGATAACCGGCAGCATTTAATCCTGAGCACAGAGGATTTATGAAGGTGAAAGGCACTGTAGGTGATGTTTACGTGACACTGTCCTGTTGGCTTTATTGCATCCACACCAGATGGCCCTGTCACTGTGATGGCTTTGTCATAAATCCATTCCAGCACACAATTTGAGTTTCCCCTTCATAAATCTGATTTATAACTACCTACTGGGTGGAGCCCAAGCAAACCGTTGGCGTGAATCACACACCAGTGTTGGGATAAGAAGTCCACACACTCCAATCTGCAGGTCTGTGCATTTCAGTAATCTATCTCCCAAAGGACTGGAGCACTTTTTAAAAGCAGGTGTTTTCAAAATGATGTTTAAGCACAGAATTTAAGAAGGGAAAGCAGCATGAGGAGGAGAAGCAGATAGGATAAGAAGGAGATGTCCCACGCAGTCAGAGGGACTCCGTTGCATTCGTGTTTTCTTCTATCTACGTTACAGCAAAGACCCTTATGCCAGTAACGTCCCTTAGAATTTAAAGAACTCATAATAGACATGATTAGCACCTTAAATTCCTTTACAATTACCTTAATGTTCAGAGGCAAACTCCGCTTATTTTCCAGATGTCTAACTTTCTACAAGCCAAAATGTTGGGAAAAAGTTGACAGCTCATTTGAAAGAGAACTATGTTCTTCACGTTTATGAGCTGGCCATGAACGTCTGCATGCTTCTTAAGCCTTGAAT